TCCTGCTGTCCTGGATCTCAAAGGTTGTTTTGTTCCTCTGCTCTGCAGTGTGTCAGTCAGGTATGTTTGGACTGAAGTGTAATCAGGTGTGCCAGTGCTCTGAGGTTAATCAGCTCTGTCACCCCGTCACTGGTGTCTGCTACTGTGCTCCAGGATATCAGGGCAGCAAGTGTGATACAGGTGTGCCCTTCATGATCTCACCTTCTTTCATCTTAAGTCCTATGTATATACTGAGATGAACAGTAAGGATTCAATATGTAACAATATGGCTATATGGAAAAAAATATATGAATTCTTTTCCGAATACACCAGACAGGTAAAATATGCTTTTATGTATTAGTATACAGGCACTATTTTGTCACCGGTGTTGATTTTTATTAAAACGAATGGCTTTACAAAGAGGTTAACATTAACTAAGGTTAATAAAAGCTTTTAGAAGTATTTTTCATTGATAGTTCATGTTAATTTCAATATTTGCTGATACATTATTAAAATCAAAAGTTGTATGTTAATATTATTTAATGGACCTGAGCTATCATGAACTAACAATGAACAGTCGTATTTTTATTAACTAATGTCAGCAAAGATGAATAAATACTGTAACAAACGTATTGCTCATTGAGAGGTAAAGTAAGTTAATGCATTAAACACCATTAACTAATGGAACCTTATTGTAATTTGTTACCAAACTAACAGATTTAAACTTTTTTCTTTTATTCTTATGTCATATTAAAAACTTTTTTTTACATTTTGTTTTATCTTTGGCCTAGATTATGAAATCAAAAATGATTAAATTAAGTACATCTTTAAAAAACCTACACAATTCACTCAATTAATATGTGGCATCATTGCCATCACAAATACAACTTTATTGTGTGTAATTTCCAATCAATCTGTAATTGTCAAATTATGCATGTTACTTAATTATAAGTATTTAGGATATAAAAGCTATGAAATTAGTCTTAGCAAGACAGGAAACATGTTTAAAAGTCATTTGTATTAGTGGCCAAAATGCCCATTGTTGAAAAAACATTGACCTGCTGTAAAGTTTTAAAGAAGTAAATCGTTATTACTACATAGATTACTGCATAGATGTTGTACCCATGATGCCTTGTTGTTTTAGAGTGTGCGGTAGGCCGTTATGGTCCCAACTGCGAGCAGGAGTGCCAGTGTCTGAATAAAGGAGTGTGCAAGACCAGCACTGGCACCTGTACCTGCCCACCGGGATTCATTGGACCAAACTGCAATATCAGTCAGTCACACTTTTACAATTTTTAATCATTGTTCTTTAACAAATATTGTCTCATTTCCAGATTTTTTTTTTTTTTTAAAAGGTTAGTGTAATCACTAACAGACTGCTCTCTCTCTAAAGCCTGTCCATCAGGGCGTTACGGGCAAGACTGTGCACGAGTGGCTTTGTGTGGTGAAGGGGCCAAGAGTGATCCGGTCACAGGCAGATGCGTGTGCAAAGCGGGTCAGCGAGGGGAAGACTGTGGGAAAGGTCTGACTGTATTCCTGATAAAAGTAATGTTGAAGTGATCGACTAATGTTTTGCTGAGTTTGTATGAAATAAGCCGATGAAGAGTAATTGTGTCTCAGGTTGTCCTAGGGGCTGGTTTGGCGAGGACTGTGCTCAGCGCTGTGACTGCAGTAATGGAGGACTGTGTGACGCGGTTACAGGAAACTGCACCTGTGGGCTGGGCTGGACAGGAAACTGCTGTGATAGAGGTCAGCTGATTGTGCACAGTTCACCCGAACATAGAAATTCTGCAAAATATGCAGCTTTTATCAATACAATAAAAACACAGTGTGACTAAGGATGCACTGATATAAAAAATTCAAGCCAATATTGATAAGCCAAAAATAAATTTTGGACAAAATGTAAAATTCTAAAATAAATGAAATAATTTATTGATAAAATATTTGTATAATATAAAAATAATATATATATATGTAGTTTATTAAAATAAATTAATGAAATACTATAATATATACAGTATATATATAATACTATAATATATAATAGAATTTTATTCTATGAAAAACTATTTTCTCTAAATAAATGTTTAAATGAATTTAGAAATGTTACATTATGAAAAATGGAAATAATAGATTATTAAATTCTGTTTAAATGTGTTGTTGTGTTGATCAGAGTGTCCCAGAGGCCGGTATGGGGCTGACTGCAAGGAAATATGTGATTGTAAAAATAATGGCACCTGTGACAGAGTGACGGGCGAGTGTCACTGTCCTCTTGGGTACTACGGACACCTCTGTGAACATGGTGAGAAAACGCAGCATCTGTTTCATCTAATTTTGCATCCTGACCAGTTTAGTCCATTTTGTAATGATTCTGATTCAGGTGTTTGTTTGTTTTTTATCGAAAGCGTGCCCTGCTGGTTTCCATGGACATCGCTGCCAGCTTTTGTGTGACTGCCGTGCCAATGTACCTTGTGACTCTGCAACTGGCCGCTGCCTCTGTCCTCCAGGTTATCAAGGACTCCGCTGTGATAGAGGTGCAGAGGATATCAGTGTTTTATCATCAATGTCTTTATAACAAAGCTTGGAAAAAAATCTTTTGCAAATGTCTTAGCTCACTTTGCATTTGTTTGAAATATTAGAATTTTGTAAATGTCTTTACTGTCACTTTCAGTCAAATATATGCATCCTTGCTGAGTAAAAGTATTGATTTGCTTTTATGATAAATGATAGTCTATATCTATACATCTGAATGCATCTGTAGTATGTATATATACAGTATGCATACATATATCTGTACATGTACACATGTATATATGTACACATTTATTGTATCTGAATATTATGTAAACTGTATGTTTATGTTTCAGAGTGTGATCCAGGCAAATTTGGGCCTAATTGTGTCCACATATGTGACTGTGACGGAGACACACCATGTGACCCTGTTAGTGGCAGGTGTCTGTGTGCACCTGGGAAAATGGGATCTCGCTGTGATATAGGTAAGCCTTCCACCGAATTTGTGTCACTTGATTTTTTCTTTAGTCATTTAGTCAAAAATGTCTTTTTGCATTCCCATCAGACTGTGGAGTGAATCGATTTGGACCTGATTGCTCAGAGAGATGTGAGTGTCACAACGGAGGTCAATGCAATCCACGCAATGGACGCTGCACCTGTCTCAACAGCTGGGTCGGACCGAGCTGTCAAGAGGGTAATTTCACTGGTAATTCACAATAACCTTCACTTTTTACAGCAATCTCAAATAACAACTTTCCTGTGTAATGTTTTTTTTATAACAGGGCTCATGTCTAGTCAGAATATTAGCAGAAGCAAAAGGAAGGACTCATCAGTATAGCAATCTCACGGTTTCTTACCCAGTTCAGTAACAGACACCGACAGTTTCACTGACTGTAAACTGACCTGGCTTGAATTTGTGAGTGGACTCTTGGCTAAAATTGAAGCCTTGTAGCATTTTTTTTTTTTTAGATCTTTGAACACAAAAGTCCACCAAACCGTCAGATGACTCTAACAAGGACAAACTTCCAAGGTGGAGACTTCCATTATTTAGTCAATAAATGATATACTTTCTTGTGGAAAAGTGGACAACATGGAGAAGACTATTCATATTGAAGTTCTTCCTGGATGAGGACAAATTCAAAGAGTTTTTTCAGCATCAGTTCTGCTCAGGGAGATTGAACTTCCTGATGACTTCAGTTTAACTCTAATCAAGAAAAGCACCAAATCAAGGCCTTCGCTTCACCTGAAATTGAAGTGAATCCCAGTGTCACTGTGATCTTAAACAGGGCTTAAAGGGATAGTGCACCCAGACTTCTGCTATCATTTATATAACCTCATTTTATGGTTTTGTATCCATTTAACCCCAGGTTTTGTCTTGAGTGTGGATATTTGGAATTGTTGTAAGAGACTTTGATTATCTTACATCATTCATGATGAACATTGTCAATTTCTAACATTTAAGTAGAATTTTGCACAAAATTGAGCAAATTTGTTACTACGGTGTATAATATTTAGGCGTTGATGTATGTTGTCCATATTTCAAGTAATACAAAAAATATGAAACTGGAGTCAATTTTTACCTGTGTACTGTATGAATGTATGTTTAATGTGTGAATTCTTGTGTACAATTTTATTTTAAAGAAAACTACTGTAAACCTTATAATCACTATGATTCCTGTTATACTGAACCAGTGTTTTGTCCTTTTAGGGTTTTTGCTACAGATTTATTTTTGTACAGGACCTTCTCCACATTATGCATTTGTGAAGTGTGATTTGCATTCTCAGTGCAGACTATGAACTCAAAGAAAATGTATATTTCAATATTTCTGCAGCTAAGCCACGACCAAAGATAGCACTTAAAACCTTTTTTTAAACAACCATGGTTGATGCTTTTTCTTTGTTTTGTAATGGTTGGTTTTCTGGAAGCTTACAAATGTTTTATTCATGATTCAACGTCTCTAAGGGGTATAGAAATAGGTGTTGAATTTTTAAAGAATGTTTTTGATAACTGCAGTTAAAGAATTATACTTTTCTGTGTGCACTCTTAAGATGTTTAATGGGCAGAAATAATCACAAGAATACTGACATTACTTTGCCATTTGCATGATTGAACTATACTTTAGATTTACAAAAAAAAAAATGTCTTTATGCTTTTTTCTGTTTTTCAGAACAAAATACTGTTTGTTTTATTAAAAATAATAAATTATTGGCACCCTGTAATGCTCTAAAATAATTTACAAAAGATTTTTAAGAGGAAAAAAAGGTATATCATACATATTACACATTTACACATATTTTGGACACTTAACCAATAAATAAATGTATTCCCTTTGTGGTCTTTAGACACATAAAACACAAAGACTAAATGAAAGCATTTTAGAATAATTTATTTTCAGTTGTTTGAAGCGCTACATTTTTTTTTTTTTTTCCAAGCACAATGTTACAAGCAATAATTGCCAATGAAAAAATAAATGAAGGCAAATGTGATAATGGTCAATAAGACCAGTATAGTATATATTTAGATTATATACATGTTATCAAACCATTCCATTATGTATCTACAGAAATCAACATAACGTAATGCATATCTGTAACAGTAATGGTCATATTACAGTTAACAAATGTCAGAATTATAGGTTATACCAAAAAACAGTATTCTTATCAAATCAGCTTCAAAACATTCCTGTACATACAGTTACTCCTGTTGACAATATTGGACTATTTTTTAAATAATTTTACAGCAAAGTATTCAACTTAGGCTCCTTCTTCAACAGCCTCTGTCCTTGCAGGGGAGGAGGGGGACTGTACACCAACAATTTCTCATTCAATGATGTTTATCCTCCACATGACTAAACTGGTAAAACTGCTTCAATTTTACCATCTAATTACTGACAACATATGACTTCCTGAGCGAAAGCAAACCACTAACATCTTAAACGATAGATGCAGCCTGACTCAACATACAAATGACAAATATAAGGACATTTACGATGACCCTCAGCTAAAGGCAACTGAAGTAACGCCTTCCACTTCTATCAGATCCTGTGGTCTTTGGTTAAAGTGCTACTTCAAAAAGCCGTACGAATATTATTAATAATCTCTGATTTTTTTCTTGTTAAACAGTATGTTTGACGCATTTCCTCTCCTAAAACAGGATGTAGCTCAGACAACAATCAAAACCCTTATAAGATGCATTACATTCCAACTACAGGTCAACACTTTCATACCCAGCCAAGCATAAGCATTGTTCTACACTAAAATAATAGGCCATTATTAAAATTCATTACTATGTACACGCAGCCAACTGTATTGCAACTCTTTAAAGATGTTAATACATAAATTCAGTAAAAAGTCCATTCATATTGAAATGAGTGTCTGAATATTTTGAACTGCCTTGATATGTTGTGAATTTATTTGGGCATTTATTTTAAAGTTAATAACTATGATCACATATAAATTACTCCATAAAGCCTCTGTCACTCCCACCAGATTATGCTCTCCATTCACCACTGATGGTTTTAAAAAGCCATAATGCATACACATACTGGTACAGATGAAACATGCTAAACAAATGGTTGCCAGCACTGAATATTTCGCATTAGTACTAAATAAGGAATATAATCTAGTAATTCTCAGACAGCAAATTAACACTGTCCTAATCACTGGCTTATTAGTTTGAAAATGTCCAAGATATGATTTACCACTTTTATAGACACATCTGGAATAATGTTTCATGGAAAACACATGGAAAATAACTTGCACTAAGAATAAAATATCCACTGCCTTGCAAATATTATTGTAAATTATCATTAATCAAAAGCAACAGTTAATTTAAAGCCTTTTTCGAACGAGTAATGTCAAATTTAATGTAGTAGGCTAATTTGGAGCGAGCCAGTAGAGGGCGCCATTGGACGAAATAAAAATAAAAAATTCGTAGTTAAGACGCAAACAACACATACAACTAGGACGACAAACATTAAACATGACAAGGTAAACTGACAAATAACAACAAATAGTATAACACCTTAATGCCTTCAAAAAAGACAGGCTTGTCTCAAAATTATTCTGAAAACTGTTAAAATAAATAATAACAGAGATTTCCACATACATTGAAAACGAGTTAAAGTACACAACATTCAGGCATAAAACATGACGAGTTCCAAATAACATTTTAAACAATGGGTCACGTGGTCAAACCTTGTACCCATAGTTTGAAGGTAACAGCACGGCAGATCGAGCACAGAAATTTCTTTGGTTTCAGCCCGACGAAGCGATGACAAATGAGCACACAGACCACCACTCAACTACTGTCTGTCTACACTGTATTAGGTCATTTGCTTCTTAGAAAAGGTTTTAAAAGTAAAAAGAACAATGAGTTAACACAAACTTTCTGATATTGCACATTTGCTGAGGCCTGTTTTTGATCTCTATTTAATATTTCTGACAGTCTCACAACCCATAGCTTTATACAGTATTATATGTAACTCAAATGGCTTCCCCTTTCTATGTTTAGAACTAAAACACAGCCAGAATTGATATAGCTTGTAGTATAAATGAAGTCTTGTAAACAAGCACTAGATTGTCTAACAATTTTGATATAAAACCAGAGATGAGTAACATCAAATGCCCTATTTAGTTTGTTCAGTCATGTAACTTTCTGCATTCACCAAAGTGCTTCATCAGCTTCATTACTTTCTGTGAGCTTACGCAAATGTATTTGTTTTCCAACATGTAAAGCAAGTGCCATGGCCAGATCTCATGCATTTCTAGAGTAAGTACAAATTCTGGATCTCTAATACTGCACTTCTTAGTGTTTACTACAAGGGGACAAAGGGAGGAGGAAGCGAGCCGGTGGTTTCTTGGTGGTTGGTGGTCGTTCTGCTTATTGAGCCAGCCTAGCTGATTTGTATGTGAGCATGCTTCTCTTCTGCCCATGCGGTTCTTGGCCTCCTCTCAGGCTAATGTCGGCAGACTTCATGTAGTGTGTGAGTTGGCTTCTCCTGCAGGACCTGTGACAGTGCTGGTCCCATGAGCCAATGTTTTTTCAGTCAAAGCTCAGAGAAAGAAGCAGGTCGTCTCAGTGTCACTGGCTTTCCTTTTAAGACCGGTAGTCCTTTTTACTGTAGGGCTTGTTGCCTACGATACTGTCCACTTCATGTATAATTGATGATGATAATTTTGGAAGAACCTGGAAGAATGTTGGGCTGAAGTTTAATGTGTTTTTAAACTTTACAAATTCATTAACAATAACCTAATATGTTTTTTACGTTACCTTCTCCATTTTTGCAGTTTTATAATTGATTTAATGTTGACTGAAAAGATTATAATGGGCTGTTTAATGTCAGGTTGTATATTGAGAATTTTCACCATATAGAAGGGCTGCATGATTAATCTGCTTGCTATGTGTTTATTTGTACTCAAGCTGCTCATGATGACCCAGTGTTTTCAAAGTCTTGGAGCGGCACAATTAACAATAAATGCTTCGCACAAACTCATCTTTGTGTCTGCTCTGAGTTTGAGTCACTTATAATGTGCATTTGGGAATGCAACATGCATCAACCATCTTCCCAAACTTGTAATGACAAGCATTTATAACCCATCTGCTTTTAAGAGCTCCTTGAGGTTTACCGCCAAAATAAAAGCTTGATAGTTTAACGTTTAAAAATGAAGACATTTGTATATTCGTTGTACTGTAAAATAAAATCCTTATTATTACATTATTTTTAAATACTCAATTTTTTATTTTAAAGTAATTCAATAGCTAGTACAACAGTAATACAATAAAATACATTTATTTTACAGTTATATTACAATAGTAATATTACTTTTTATTTAGTAATATTATTAATATTTTATAAATTATTTTATTATAATTACATTACGTATCCTATTGATTTAAATTTTTACAACATTTCTGCCCAAAATGTTTTATTTGTAACCACAATTTGTATAAAAAATTACTTAATGCTCATTTTCACAGCTTGTTACGTCACATTGTTCTTGTGCCATTGCCATTGAAAAACCTCAGCATTTCATCTACTGTATTTCTGTTAACAGAATGAAAAGCTTTGTTCATGTATGTACCCTGCTGTGAGTGGCTCACCTGAATGGCTCCTATGTTCTCCATCAGCTGTTCAGTGCTGGAGGCCCCCAGCAGCACACAGCTCACCCCCTCATTCCTCAGACACCACGCTAGAGACACACCAAAGCACAGAAACTTCACATCTCTCTAAACACTCGAAACAGTCAACAGAAAGAGTCTAGAGCAGGGGTGGCAAACATCAGTCCTGGAGAGCCGCAGCCCTGCAGAGTTTTGCTTCAACCCTAATCAAACACACCTGAACAAGCTAATCAAGGTCTGAAGGGTTACTAGAAAGCTATAGGCAGGTAGGTTTTAATTAGGGTTGGAGCTGTACTCTGCAGGGCTGCGGCTCTCCAGGACCGGAGTTCGCCACCCCTGGTCTAGAGTCTACTGTAAATGTGAAAGCCATTCGAAAACTCAACCAGAAATTCAGCCTCAGGTAAAAGAGCTAATTGTAGATATTAGATTCTCTAAGGAGAGATGAAAGCAATTCAGACCTGTGTGCTTTTTATATAACCAACAATGTCAGAACACTGAACAGAAAAAATACGGAGGTAGGTGTACTTGACAGAGTGCTAACATGTGTGGGCATTAAACTTGAACTAAGCAGTTACTGCTAAAGCAGGTGCATTTTAAGTTATAAAAATAAACTTGAGTTTTGTTCTATTACAACCGACACACAGGAGAAGCGTATTTTAGGCTCGCATTTTCAGCTATTAAACTCAATTGTTTTAAGTTTGGACAACTTATTTATTCAAGTTAATGCATGTTCCTTGTCTTACTGTACAGTAAATCTACAACATTTTTTATCATTGAATATCCTGTTTCAAACTGAGCTGAACTTCGAAGTGTTAAAAAACAGGTTGCAGAAAGCCACATCACATTAAAACCATCACACCACAAGAACAGACACACAATCACATCAAGTGCCAAACAATGTGCATCTGGTCTGCAGTTATCAGTCAGCACTAGCCTACTGAACCCCTGCTGTTACTCTGACCTTTGCTGCTCTATTAAATAAGGTTATACAGTATAAATGATTAGCATGGATTCAAGGAACAAAACCTGAAGCAACACAGGCAAACCTTGTCTGAAATGTTGCAGTTATCTGTGTTTCCCCTTTGATGAATGATAGTAGTCATCAGTTGATTGTTTTATATGCTTACTGTGCTTTACACAACTAGGACATGTTCCTGGACTGACATAATTTGTTGTTCCTATCAAGCAAACACTAACCTCTGCATTTTTGGGACAGGTTTAGTGTAAAGATAATCTCACATTGGCAGATTTTTTAATTTTAGTCTGGTCCATATTACAACTTATTCTACCCAAGAACAGCCCACTAGGATAGGAAGAGACCACCTGAACAACATATAATAACACAAAGACCCACAGGTAACTCTGTCTTACTGAAATACACAATCGAAAGAAAGGTACAAAAGCTGTCACTGGGGTGGTATTCTTTCAAAGGGTACACCTTTGTACTTTATTTACCCCTAAAGGGTTTGAATTAGCACATTAAGTGTAGGTAGAATTCAACAAATACAGATCCTCTCAATAAAGAAAAATGCTTTTTGTCCCAATAATAATAATGTAGTTACAGCATTTACCAGCATGACTTAATAGGGCCATATTGGTCAACCAAACCTTGCCCCATGACATCAGGTCAGTAAATGGACTATGTTAAAACCTCTGATTGGTTAATAAGGAAGTTCAGGAACAGAAACATACATTTAACAGACACAAGACTGTCCAACACAAGACCCCAGACAAAAAGACACATGACAGAAGCAGGAGACGAGGACAGACAGCCTGTCCTGAGCTCCAGGCAGGCAGACAGACAGACAGACAGAAAGAGAGAGAGCAGCAAAGCCCTGGCAGAATTACCGATGGCCAGCTGGGGCAGCGTGCAGCCCAGCCGCTCCGCAATGGCCTGCAACTCTTTCAGCTTCGCCTGCTGACGGCGGCCTTCCTCACTCAGGATCTTGTCCTTCAACCACTGGTAGCCCTGTTTCAAACAGACAGCACACCTGCTCAGAGAGCCACACGCCACCGGCTGATGAGCCACAGGAATAGCTGCTGGATATTCATTGTGTTTGTGAAGTAATGATGGAATGGATGAGATCTGCACACACAGCCACAGGAACATGTTTTATGAGCGGGTGCTGATGGGATAGTGCGGTGGGAATGTGATGGGTACCAGCTGCCTAAAGGTGGTGAACATTATACTTCTCCAACTTTTGCTCAAATGATCATGCTCTCACAAGAAATAGGACAGGGTTATGTTGTAGACATCAATTATTAATTATTAAGTTGTATAATGTTGTAATTTATTATACTTACTGCTAGACGAAAGCACATCTCATATATAAAAAAAAAACTATGCTGTTGTTATTTTTTTTTTCCATGGATCACACAAAAAATTATTTTTTAAAGAATTTTCCCATACACTATTGTTAAAAATTGTAATGGTTGATAAGATTTTATGTTTTTGAAAGAAGTCTCGTGTGCTCACCAAGACTGCATTTATTTGATTAAAAGTGCAGCAAAAATGTAAAATTTACAATAAAAGTTTTCTATTTTAATACAATTTAAAATATAATTTATTCCTGCAATATCAAAGCTGAATTTTCAGCAACATTACTCCAGTCTTCAGTGTCACGTGATCCTTCAGAAAACATTCTAATATGCTGATTTGCTGCCCAAGAAACATTTCTTTGTTGAAACGGTGATGCATTTTTATCAGGATTCTTTGATGAATAGAAAGTTCAAAGGAACAGAATTTATTTAATGTTTATTTTACGACATTATAAATGGTATCTTTACTGTCACTTTTGATCAACGCACACCCAAACTTTTAAATGCTAATGTCGATTTTAGTATAGTGTAAATAACAGAGAATTACAATTTTGGGGTGACATTTTAAAATTATTAACAAGTACAAATCTGTAAAATATTTAATTTAATCCACAAATAAATTCTTGAAGACATGCATGCTACTTTCATATTTTTGAATACTTTTCAATGGAATATGTATAGAGTATGTATGCGTTTGGATTTTAATGCTGTTTTTTTACTTCATGTTTGTAATTTTGTTGCTTCCGTACTTAATTCTAATCATGTCAATCATGTATTATCATGCTAATTATTTATATTTAAAAATATTCATGTGTACTTGTGGAGAATCTGCTATTGACATGTTTGGACATGTGTTGCAGTCTACTTACATCTGCATGTATTCTTATGCATACAATGCAATGTACAGTAAATAAAATCATTCGGAAATCAAAAGCACTCAATGGCTGTGTGTAAAATATGTATGGAAAGGCACTATATCACAGCAAAGAAAAGAGGAGAAACACAAAAGTGTTTGTGCATTCATCTACACGCATATGTGCAGATGAGTTGGAGCACTTCACAATCAGATAAAGTGATCTCAAGCAAGGCCTTCATTTAAAACACACAGTCATCAATGAAGACCACCACCGACAACAGTCAGGACAGACCAACAGGAGTGCTGAGAGACTGTAACACATAGCCGAGGAATACCTTGAGGGAGGCTCTGGAATAAGGAGGCACACCGCTGTCATACTTTCCTGAGATGATCCCACAGGCCAGCGGAGACCACGTCATGGCGCCCACACCTGCACATACACCATTGTGACATACTATGAACCAGCCACCCTTACAGCAACTCTGTTACTTCATTTCAAGAAAAATTATGCTTCTCTAGTGAAAACACACATACCTATCTTATGGAAGAGTTCAGGCAGCTGTACTTCCACCTTCTCTCTCTGAAACATGTGATATTCAGCCTGCTCACAGACAGGTGGGATCAGGTTAAACTGCCGTGCCACTGAGTACGCCTCCTGAAAAACATACAATAGTACACACAGATTCAGAGCTGCTCATAATAGAACAAATCTATTTATACATATGTGCAGATTCCTTTATCATCAAAAGCATCTCCCTGCATGCATACTTAAAAAAAAATTGTTTTCTCAAGTTGTTTATTAAACAAAGATAACTGGAGAATGTTTTACAAGAAAATACTATTCTAATCTTTCTACTTCATTTCATTTCACGTTTATTTCAATGTGTTAATACTTACTTTGAAATAAAAATAGTTTCAAAGTAAATTCTATGCCAAAATTTTTCAGTGCGTTAGCCAAACAACAGAGCAGATGACATTGGGACAAAAATATTTTTATTGTGACCATAAATTAAGAATTAGTTCCCACGAATTAATTTGGGAACTAATCAGTACAATATAGCCATAGTTTACTAAAATGAGGAAACCAATTAGTACAACGTGCCAGGATTTACTAAAACAATGGAACAAATCAGTATAAAGTGGCCACAATTTACTAAAACGATGGAACAAATCAGTATAAAGTGGCCACAATTTACTAAAACGATGGAACAAATTAGTACATTTTACTAGACAATTTACTATTACTAGTGAACGAGTTAGTGTGACCACGATTAACTAACATGAGGAATGAATTAACAATGTAGCTGCAATTAACTAAAACATGGCAACAAATTCGCAATTTGTGGTCATTATGTATATGGTCATATATATATATATATATATATATACACACTGTATATATCACTGATTCTTGATATAAGGGACAAAACATGTTTTACAATGAGTTTTTATTTTTATTGATACATTATTTATAAATTTATATATTTGTAGAGAAAGGTCTCTGCTAATGAACCATGTACTGTAAGGAAACAGGTTTTTCTGAAAATGTTTTGTTTTTTTTCTAAAAATGTACATCTATTAATTTTAAAACTTAATTTGTGTCAACTCCATCAGACGCATTAAAAGCGTGATATTTTAATTTGTTCCACCCAATAACAGTGTGAAGTCTTTAATTGTGTAATAATGGTGTTCAGTAAAGGAGCTGAAGTGATTAAATACATTCTCTACATTTTTTTTCCAGTTTTCACTTTATTATGAACAATCCAATTCCTACATTTCTTAATTTTAATATTAAACATATATAACCCTATGTTCTTTGAGAACACAGACATATTATCATGTAGTTCTGTTCATGTTTTACTATTTTAGAACAATAAATTGAAAAAAAAACCATAAAATCTTTATTTCAAAATTAACAGAAACCTTCATCTGACAGTGTTAAAAACTGACGGAGTTGACAAAGGTCCAACTGAGGTTACAACAACTGATTGACAAGACAACAAATTAAGACAACTAGCTAATTTTTAAACTGATATTTAATTTAATACAATAATCCTTCTAGTGGATGTCTCAATCTGAGTCTCCAGTAGCTCACAAAATACAAGAAGCTTATGTTCCATTCAGTGTAATGGTCAGCATTTTTATGTGCTGCCCTGTAGCAGCAACAGAAATGTTCCTAATATGAATCCAAAGGATCTTTAAACCCCATCAGTTATGAAATTGTATTTGTGCCTGACCTGCATGACTAAGGCAGTGGTCAACTGGCATGTTCGCTCTCTATGAAGTCCATTACATCAGGATTTACTATTGCTGTGATCTCATGTGACAGGTTGTAAAATAAATAAGGCATGTAAATCAGGCCAAATATCTATGTAAATAAAATCATGAAACAACATTAGAATAATTCCCCATATGCAAAACATAATTATATCACTATATAAAGAGTTTTGAGAGCATTTGTCAACTTCGTCAGCTTACAAGTCAACACTGTCAGACAGGTTTTACTTTTTGTATTGTTTGACACGTTACAGATCACTGCCTTTCAATATAAATGTATATTTTTGAATTTGTTGCATTTTTTTAACACTTTGTTTGGCAGTTTTACATTGTGAACTCATGCTGAGGACAGGTTAAATTACATGTATTTCCAAGTGTAGAGCATGTTTTTAAAATAATACTAAAGAAATTATTTAAAAATAAAAGCAATACAGATTTCCTTTAGATGTAACTTTAAGTACTTTTATTTTGAAGAATTTCTAACATAAATAGGGCTTTTGTGTGTAGGACGAGACTAGCTGTGAGCAAAAATAAAAAACCACACACTTTCCAAGATCTAAAAAAAAAAAAAAAAAAAAAAAAAGCACTATAGGGGTCAAAATAGAACTTTAATAAAATATAATTGTAAATAAATAAATAAATTGTATTATTTACAAATGACAAATCTAGACAGTTACATATGGCTATGATTTTAATAATACAGTTGTCCTTTTGATTTTATAGTCTCAAGCATTAAGAAATCATGCAAAAGAAAATTAAGCAGTTTTACTACAATAAAACCATGGTTAATTTTTGTAAGGGTTGTGATGTCCACATATTTTTTGTTGAAGAAATGATAGAGGCCGTGTCATCTATCTATAACTATCTATCTATCTATCTATATATATATATATATATATATATATAGCAAAAAGGTAAATTTGTAGCTAAGTAATGGTTTAATTACATGAATTTGCATAATGCTTATCTATTCGAAATACACTTTAATGACAGCAAATGAGATGCTGAAACAACCTGAATACTTATTATATAATATTTATTTTACTGAAAACAAAAAATCTTTATTTTAATGTGCTAAACAATTCCCTGTGCTTTCAAACCCACCATGATCTCCATGGAGCTCCAGCGGGACGTGCCCCAATACATGGCCATTCCCTGGTTAATCACATGGGTCATCGCTCGGACCGTCTCTGTCAATCACAATATTAACAATCAAAGTCTGGACAACGCTCAGATATTGAGGGACCGAGGAACAAAAGCAGATGTGATCAGAGAGTATCTGACATGGAGTAAGATGACCGCAACACACCTACCCAGTAAAAAAACAAGGACGAATATAACGGTAAAGTAATGGAAGTGGAGCAGAAGTAGATTCTGAGAAAGGCTAAGAGCAACAAAGGCCATTATTCATATTTTCTTTATACAAAGTGACAGGGCATTAGAAATGGCCTGAAGGTTATGCATGTTATAGTAACTCTACTCAAAGAGTTTCTCAGTGGGCAGAAAATAAATCAACTGGTGCAACTCCGGACTGCATGACATCTCCAGATAAAATGGCTAAAAGAAAACTCTATGTTAATAATAGAACATATCTGTCAAGTACTATAGAGGTGTCACACCATGGGCCATTATTTTGAACAGTAGTTTCACACAAACATTAATTTAAGAAGCAGTAGCAGGTCTCCCTCCTTCAGACTTAAGATTCTCGAAAAAGTTTTGATTAGTAACATTTTTAAGGATTCCAAAAAACTGCTTGTTTAAAAATGCATTTTGTGGGTCTATACAGTCCCTTTTTTATAGACCCACATTAGATGCCAATATATTTAATGTGTTCCTATTCACATAATTTAATGTTACACATTTCTGTATTTTATAGTTTAATGATGAGGCCACACCACAGGAAATTCCCAAATATTAATAAAAACGGCAAAAAAGAAAATATATACATAAATAAACAAACATAATCAAATAGGTCATATATTATGAAAAAAAACATCCAATTACTTATTACTATTATTTAGTAAGTAAAAACACTGCAGGCAGGAAAGGACAGCATTCACAAACCTATAGTAAATCAAATTTCCAATCTGTACTAACATATGAAGACAAACTATGTGTTCATATTGTAGAATATCTGCAATGTATCAGTTTAAAGTGGGATCTGCTAAGCAGCTTTTGTCTTTTTTTAGATTTATGAATAATATCACTGTAAACCATTAGTAGACAAAGAGAAAATATCAAAAAAGACTAAATACAAAGACAGACACATGCAAAAAAGAGAGCAGTCACTTGCAGTAATAAAATATTCACATGCAGGGAAGCCGAGGACACTGCAGTCAATCATCTTGCAAAAAAATATTTTTTTTAGTGGTTTTAAGAAAATCTAAAGATTAGGCTAAAGTGAAGTATGAGCGGAAGCTGGTTAAAGTGCTTCAATGTATTTAATTATTAACCTTTCATTATAATATGTATGTTATATGCCACTGTATTGAACTATGTTTGAACTGACAGAAAACAAACATTTAAAAAAAGAAGCGAAGCCCAAAAAAAAATTATCCACTCGGCAACTACATGACAAGTACATTCCTAAGAAAAATTAATAATGGAGAAGATATTAAAATGGAATGAAAATGCATGGTAATTATAAAAAAAAAAAAAAAACAACAACAAAAAAACAGACACTATAATCACGGGTCAGTAAGATGCAATGACCTTCTCCAAATTTCACTTGCAAGATGGACAGGATAGTCAAAGAAATCAATCATTCTACAGCATACCAGGTTTAAGAGGAACTTCTGGAAATCTTCAGCATTTTATGGACATAGTCAGGTTTCTCACACCAGGATAAGAGGGCAAACTATCACAAATCAAAGCCATAAAATGCTTTTGGAGACAAGAGGTCAAAACTCTCACTGAGGGTACCATGTACCTTCTATGATGAATGTTCTTGATTTTGAAGTGTTAAATGGATCTCCTGGTGATAAACAAACAAACAAAAGACTGTGAAAAGAGGTTTACCAACCAGCAAATGGAATGAAATCTCTGAAGAAGAAAAAAAAGGCAGCAGAACTGGACCAGAGCGGATTCTGCAAATCCCTGGGTAATGGGACCACGCTTGAACTCTGGAGGTCTGTGCACAAGCACGAGCAATCATGTCTACATGACCATGACCTCAGAAGCATCAGGCTCAGTCCCTGACATTAATCAATCTATCCACATAGCCCTCACAGCTGTACAGCATGGTATCGTCACACTAACTTAGTTAGATGTTGACTGAGCTTAACTTGCATTGAACTTGTATTCCTTTAATATCTCACCATTCTTAAGGAGAAGAGCATTATCAGCCAATCAGGACTTTAAGGAAATGAGGTGACAAAATCATGTCGGTCTGACTCCAATAAAATTACCATGCTATAGTGCTGTGGATTTGCTATTTAAGTAACCTAAGGTCTTTCAGTCATGCTGCTTCAGTTGTTTAGCCCTCTAAACTATTGCTTGCTATTATAAAAGATCTACTGCGACGAGATGTAGATGTACTAGTCCATTTAATGCGTTTGTAAAACTCTACAAAGCAAGAGCATGCACTCTTCCTCGACTAAATTACAGCTTGACTCAACCATTAAATGCATAATGGATGCAATTGCTGTGATGCAAATTGAATCATCTTGACAGCACACTTAGACAACATGCTCCATTCACTGCTCAACGTTCTGAGATAGACGATTCATTATTCTGTATGACGTTGTAGTTTATTACAAAATTAATGGGATGATTAGACTCTTTTTGGAACTTTTGCACCTTAAAGGTTAAACAACTCTCTGCCATTGGTCTCAATGTGTTTGATCTCTTTTATGTGTTGAGAGCTATGTGGCTGGTCTGATATGGTCCCATGCTTCAGTGCAAAGCAGTTAAGTGAGCAGCCATTCCAGTGCTGGGAGTCAAAGATGCAAAAACTATCCCAGCATCCCATCAAGCACACCTACCTTCCATTGGTGTGTTGGGGTCGGGTCTGTTAGCAAACACTACATCCACATACTCTAACTGAAGTCTCTCCAGTGACGCCCTTAGACCTGAAGGTCAGAAAAACAAAGTACTATTTAAAGCTGAAATAAGTCATTTTTCGTGTTATACTACATTTTCTTATCTTTTCATTTCTGACTGGTGACTAGCAGCTACATTATACAACGCAGCATTAAATTAGCACTGTACACATCTTGAATGAAGAACTTTATGGGGTTAAAACATGGCATTGTGGATTTTTACATTTACAATACAAAATGCAATCATGAATATTTCTAACTTGACTTACCCTCTATTATGTGTTTTCTAGACAAGCCTCTCTCTGTTTCTGCTCTGAAAAATAAACAAGAACGTGACATCCACACATTTAAATATTATTAAAGTGAATGGTTCTTTAACTTTTTTTTAACCGTGCAATTTTTAATCAAAATGTTAACTTGATATTTCTGCGAACAACAGACTTCTCTATGGTGACGTATGGCAGACCTCTCCAATCATTTAATCTGCTTAAATCCCGTCCCTTTCTTAAAATCAACAGCAGGATTGTATTCAGATCTGCTTTTATCAAATTGACAAACAATGGACAGAAGTACCCACCCAACTTTTTTTTTTCTTTTCTCTAATCCTTTTTGTTTGGATGTACATAACAATACGGAAAAAAAAGAATAGTCACTACTTCCGTTTCATCACCACTTTAATGTGATGCTGACGTGCAGCGGTGCACACATAATAATCAGTGATCTTCCTCAGGTAAATTTACTAAAGGTCACAGTTAATATGGCCACTGTTTCTGTATGTGAAACTAATTATTATCCAAATGTGAGCACAGTGGTAATTTAAACCCATTAATGTTTGATGGTGACCTCACATCAGTGCTCGGCTTTGGCCTTTAATTTGCCCTGAGTGAAAGAGCACAGCTCAGAGGGGGGATTCGACCTGGATCGTTCTCCAGTGAGGGTCTGCAGGACTTCCTTTACTATATTTTACAGTATAGTAAATTTTACAGTCTCTGCACTGGCTACCTATTAAGTTCCGTATCAGTTACAAAATATTATTACTTGCCTATAAGGCCCTTAATGGGTTAGCTCCTGCATACCTAACTAGTCTTCTACCACGCTACAATCCATCACGCTCCCTAAGGTCGCAAAACTCTGGACTTTTGGTAGTACCTAGGATAGCAAAGTCCACTAAAGGAGGTAGAGCTTTTTCGCATTTGGCTCCCAAACTCTGGAATAGCCTTCCTGATAACGTTCGGGGTTCAGACACACTCTCTCTGTTTAAATCTAGATTAAAGACACATCT